CCGGTGATGTTCAATATACTAAACTCCATCGGTCAATTTGGTGGCTTGCCTAATGAGGATGCTAGACAACATGTCCGTGTTTTTCTTGAAGTTGGTGATTCGTTCAGGCAACAAGGAGTACACGAAGACGTGATGAAGCTTAAATTGTTCCCCTACTCTCTACGTGACCGAGCAAGAGCTTGGCTTAATGAAGTCCCTTCTGGATCAATGGAATCTTGGGCTGACTTATGCAAAATTTCCTACTTAGATGCAACCCACCCAATATGTACACCTAGCTCCGCAATGATATTGAAACTTTTCGCCAAAGTGATGATGAATCTATGTACGAGTGTTGGGATATGTATAAAAGTTTGCTTTTCAAGTGTACTAACCACGGATTCCACAACTGGACTTAAGTCGTGATGTTTTATAATGGAGTAAACACACCTACTCATATGATGTTAGATGCCTCGGTGAATGGAACTTTACTTAACAAATCACTCGAGGAAGCCTTTGAAATCCTCGATAAGATAGCCAATAATGACTATTAATTTCCAACTAGAAGGCTTGGAACCATCAGAAGAGTGTCTGGAGCATACGAACTTGATGATAAGGATTCTTTATCTGCTCAACTTTCTGCTATAACAAATATGTTAAAAAATTTGCAGTGTTCCAATGAGGTAAAAGAAGTCAAGGCAACTAGCTCAGCATGCATCTTTTGCCGCGGCAACCATCATGAGAGTGAATTCCCAGAAAACCAGGACCCCATCAATTTCGTGGGAAACTTTGATAGAAGTAACAACAATAACCCCTACTCCAATACATACAATCCTAGATAGAGACAACATCCAAAATTTTCGTGGGGAAATCAATGGAACAACAATAAAAATTATGAATGCAATTTTAATAGGCCACACCAAAACATTTCTGAACACTCAAGTTCGCAACATCAACAGATGCCCAGGAAAGGTAATAATAAAAGTAATGCCTCTTCGTCAAATTATAACTCCCTTGAAGCTTCACTACAGGAATTCATGCCCTCGACAAAAGATTTCATGGCTTCAACAAAGACCTTGGTACACGAGCAATCATTGACAATCCAGAATCAATGTGCTTTATTTTAAAGCCAATCAGCTTTATTACAAAGCCATAGTTCATGATTAAGAGCGTTAGATAATCAAGTGGGCCAAACAGCCACGGCAGTACATTCTCGACCGCAAAAAACCCTCCCTAGTGATATTCAAGTCACTAAGACTCATGGGAAATAGCAATGCAGTGCGCTTACACTTAGGAGTGGTACCCGAATTAAACTTGATGATAAGTTTAGGGGTAGAAGCATGAAATTTCTTGCCAAGGCACTAAATACAAGAATATAACGGTTAAGAAGAAATTACTGAATGAGAAGAACTGCTTAAGGAGAAGGAAAAGAACGCAACTTCAACAAGTCATCACAATGATGGTGAAAAATTATTTGGCAAGAAAAAAGTTTCATCACCACCTGCAGCAGATGAAGCTAGACCTCCACCACCCTTCCCTCAGCAGTTGATGAAGTATAATGATGAGATACAATTCAAAAAAGTTTATTGATGTCCTTGTCCAGCTACATATCAATGTTCCATTACTTGAAGCCGTTGAGAAGATGCCTTCCTATACAAAATTTTTAAAGGACATTGTCACAAAGAAGAGAAAGGTTGAAATAATAGAAACTATTGCCACGACAATAGAATATTGTTCGGCGATGAGTAAACTTCCATCAAAGTAAAAAGATCCTGGAAGCTTTGTTATACCATGTTCCATCAGTGATAAATATATGGGAATAACTCTCTGTGACTCAGGGTCAGGTGTAAATCTGATGCCCAAGTCCATATTTTTAAAGCTTAGTATGGGTAACGCTTGACAAACCACCGTTATTCTATAACTAGCTGACTGATCACACATTTATCCCGATGAAAGTATTGAATATGTGATTGTTAAAGTGGACAAGTTTGTCTTTCCAACAGATTTCATCATTTTAGACTGTGACACAGATGAGAATGCACCTATTATTCTTAGCTACCGGGCGTATTCTAATAGATTGCGAAAAGGGAGAGTTCACAATGAGGGTTGCGAAACAAAGCGTCACGATCAATGTCTTAAACTCTCTAAAATATGTTGATAATTCTGAAGAATAACATTACATTGAAGACGTTGATCCAATGGAGGAAGTGGAATGGAAAATTCTGGCCAAGGCAAATTTTTACATATTGATGAGTATGAAAATCTGTGCCAAGATAAAAAAAAATCAGAAGGAATAGTGTAAAATTTGTTGCCACAACAATTTGTTACAACTAGAGGGACACAACAATTTTAACCCAGGCGAAACTTATCTGAATGAGGCATACAAAAATATTTGCCTAGGCAAATTTTTTTTGATTGGAGCAGATGAAAGACATATTGAAGGTAAAGCAAGTACGGAGTCTGAAGATGATTCATTGGAAGAGGAATAGTCTAATTTTCTTCAAGCTAGACCAGGTTTGAGATTCGAACCCCCTTGATTTCAATGAATTTATTCCACCAAAACCTTCGCTATAGCATGCACCTACCATAGAACTTAAATCTTTTCCATCACATTTGAAATATGAGAATCTAGGTAGTGATAATGCTTTACCAGTTATAATTTCTGCTAGTTTAACCCCCAAGCAAGTGGGAAGTTTGTTGAATGTTTTGTCACAGAACATAAAAGCTCTTGGGTGGACTATGACAGACTTAAAGGGAATCAACCCTACAATATGCATGTACAAAATCCAGCTAGATGATTACCATAGCAACTCAGTGAAACCACAAAGAATACTTAACCCGATAATGAAAAAATGGTGATGAAGGAAATCATAAAATGGATTGATGCTGGGGTGATCTATCCCATATCCGATAGTTCACAGGTCAGTCCGATTCAAGTTGTATTTTACAATTCCATTAAACTTGAAAATTTTTCGAGTGGAGTCGAGTTTATGAAATTACAACTCGAAATTAATTTAAGTTGAGTCAAGTAAAAAAATCAATTTTTCAAGTCGAGTTTCACTCACCTTTAATATAGAGATTTAGACTAAATCCGAATAGCAGGTTAGACTTACCGGGCTTAAAGCATATTTGAATTAGTTTATTTTAAGTTCGGATTTAATTTGGATTAGAGGGATTAATTTGTTTTCGAAAACTGATAGACAGGCCCAAACCGAAAAAAAATTAATGTTCACAATGTACTTAAAAAAATAAAACAGTAATAATTTAAAACCTTGTGCAACATAATTTTTAACAAAAAAAATATTTCAATAAAAATATAAAAGATTGATATAAAAATAAAACAGTAATAATTTAAAACCTTGTGCAATATAAATAAAATATTTTGTAAAAATTGTTCCAAAAATAATTTAAGTATAAATCTCAAATTTTCATTTAGTAAGGAGTAAAATTGATATTTGAAAACTTTGGAGTAATATTTGAAATATTCGAATGATTGAATCGAATATAATATTTTAAATCAAATATAAAATCTTAAAATTAATTAACACTTTATTTGTTATATCGAAATATCAAAATATTTTCAACAATAATACTATAAATAATTATAATTAAATTTTTATAAAAACTAGAACAACTCGACTTGACTCAAAAAATTTGAAATCAAATTTGAGTTATAAAATACAATTCGAACAACTCAAAAATATTAACTCGACTCGCTCGATCAAATGCTTACCCCTAGTCGTGGTGGTTGGATATAATGGAATTTAAAAGGTGCGAGTTGTTTAGGATTAAGGGTGTACTCAATCAGTTGGATTGTAGGGATAAGAGAGGTTAATTAAGGTTTGATGTAATTTCTCTAAGGGAGAACCTATATAGGGTAAGTAGGGGTGAGGGTTCGATCAAATCAAGTAAATTTTTTTTGAGTTATTCGAGTTGACGAGTCTTATTTTATAACTCAAAGTTGAATTGAAATTTTTTCAAGTTTAGTCGAGCTTATAAAATTTGAGTCGACTCGAGTCGAATTTTCAAATTTTTGTTTAAATTTAATCGTAAATATTTATAATATTCTAATATCAATTGACTCCAGATTAAATAGGTTTTTATAACCATATATAATACATATATATTTCTTCATATTTCTTTTTCATATGTGATATACATATATCATACAGAGTCGAGGAACTCGACTCAAACTTGAAAATCAATACATTAATGAATAAAAGATTTGAGTTATTCGAATTACTAGTCAAGTTGTATTTTACAACTCCATTAAACTTGAAAAATTTTCGAGTGGAGTCGAGTTTATGAAACTACAACTCGAAATCAAATTAAGTCGAGTCAAGTAAAAAAAAATCAAATTCTCAGTCGAATTTCACTCACCTTTAATAGAGAAAGGAGTCTGGGCGAAATTTAGACTAAATCCGAACAGCAGGTTAGACTTACCGGGCTTAAAGCATATTTGAATTAGTTTATTTTAAGTTTGGATTTAATTTGTATTAGAGGGATTAGTTTGTTTTCGAAAACTGATAGACAGGCCCAAACCGAAAAAAAATTAATGTTCACAATGTACTTAAAAAAATAAAACTGTAATAATTTAAAACCTTGTGAACATAATTTTTAACAAAAAAATGTATTTCAATAAAAATATAAAAGATAAAAAATCAAAAAATACTACTGGAAAAATACTGAATTTTTCAGAAAAAAATATTAAATCACGAAAAACATTTTATACCACATCTAAACATCCAAAAAAAATCTGAGAACATTTTTTGATTATATATATAATTCATTTTTCAAGTATCACTTATCGAAATTTGTTTTCATATGAAAAAAATACCTCTATGAGATTCGCATTCGGGTCTGAATAAATAATAGTTTATATTATTACTATATTCCATCTGAATGACAGTTGCATGCATAGACACTCTAATTTATAACCTCTTAAAACCCATTATATATACCCTGATGCTGATGGTGCTAGCCAGCTAAATATCAGTCCACTAGCAAGATATAGTCTTGTAGACAGTTTTTAATACAAAAGCTGATAAATGCTAAAATATAGCTATTTAAGCAGCAACTATGGCATCGGCGGAGCTTGTGACCGGAGTAGCGGCCGGGACAGAAGTATTACTAGATTTTGCATCTTGATCTTTTGCAGGGGCAGCCACAGGTGGTGGTGGTGGTGGTGGTGGAGTATGCTTCAGGTGGGGAGGCGTGTCGTGCTTTAGTTTCACGAGTATCTGTCTCATCCTCGAACGGTCAGTTGGTTTACCCGGCTTAGGACCCTGGACGACAACAATGGAAGGCTTCTTCACCTTATCCTTTTTCCCTCTCTTCTCTATGGTTGGCACTTCATTAGGAATGAGTTCTGCGATTGCTTTCCAGTAATGCTTATCAGTTTCGGCATGGAATTTCTCATGGTTGGCTACAAATATCTAATACACAGAATACAATATAAATGTATTTACACATGGCATTGGCACATTGTTCCATATCTAAGATGTCTGTGAATGAAAACCAAGCAAATTATGAGAATGTTTTCTCTTAACCCCACAAACCACGTAACTTGTTTAGATAAACTTCGGGATTAAGGTTATGATGTATATATGTAATGACCCAATAACAAGTAGTTTAAATTATTTCACATCTACGAGTGACATCCCAGATAAAGCCACAAGTAAAGCGAGACCAACCTTCTTTTTCCAGTAGGAGATTTGAGTTTCATATGGCTCATTAGCTAAGAATATGTTTCCCATCCAATGCATATTACGGCCAAAATTTGATCATAGACATTGAAAATCATGATAATATCATGATAAAACCAATAACAAGTAGTTTAAATTATTTCACATCTACAGGTAAAGTGAGACCAACCCTCTTTCCATTAGGACAATTGAGTTTCATATGGCTCAAAAGCTAAGAATATGTTTCCAGTCCAATGCATATTACCGCCAAAATTTGATCATAGACAACGAAAATCATGATAATATCGATATTAACAGTTCAATACTGACGGAAGAAAGCATAACATGTTTAGCACACAACAGTTCAAGCATGATTAGAAATCGAAAAAAGCAAAACAATGTTCTTTTTCAATTTATGTTTTGTTTCATATAGTAGCAAGCTATTTTAATGAAGTAAAAGCATTATCATATAGCTTCAACGAAAAAAGGTACCTTTTCTCTCTCTCTGTTACTGGCCTTGTTGTTTTGACAGGTCAACTCTCTTTTCTTATAAAACTCGACTTTGAATTGATCAGCTTCATCAATTATTTGGCTCAATAATTCCTTCTCCTTCTTCTCCTTCTCCTCCAACCGAATTGCATTCTCCCTACGCAATTACAACAGTGATAGTTTCCGAGTTTAGCAACATATAAACCTATAAAATTGGCAACACCTTTCACATTTTTCATCTTTTTGATACAATTGAGACTGTAGCTTAGGATAGGGGAAAGGGTTGCTCTATGTTGCTACCCGTGTTTGAAACCCATGTCCATGAATATCGGGACTTACGTATAGAGATAGAGTGATAGACCCTCCTTCGATCTCCCAATATATCGGAAAAAAGATCGAAGATATACGTCGGATAAATATGTGTATGTACCCACCTCTTACATCCATGTCCATGTAGCATAGATTGCAAATGCTCATATTATGACTCCGAAACGGTTGTGTAATTTTTCTTAGGGTGGGTACATGAACCAACTTAGCTAAGGCCCTAAAAATTTACTCGAAATCATAGGATACAAATTATGAAATAAATTTAAAAAAGAAAAAAAAAGATATTCCCAGATATTTGCTTAATCCAATCTCTAAAAAAATAATAAATTCAAAGAGAATTATCCTAAAACATTACATTCTGGATATTTTCACCAAATTCTTAAAATTTCCCCAATTAAACCCTAACATGACTTAACCAAATATCCTTAAAATTCTCCAACAAAAAATCACAGAATCCAGTTAAACCCCCAATATGACATACCGAAGCTAATTTAAGTTTTCCAAAAATAAAAAGATCAATAAATCAAATTCTTCTTCACATTTCTACAAAACCCAAGTGCAAATTTCAGAACTTCATTTTCTACTTTTTTTTTTAATTTCCGCAAACCTAATTTTTAATAAAAAAACGAAATTATTCAAAAGAAATTCCTAAAGGATCTTAACCTTCTCCATTCCCTGAGAGCAACCCCTTCCTCGGGCTCCATCTCCGGCGGAGGCAAAATCGGGCCGTTCAATCCGTCAAAATCTTGGCCAAACTCTACCCCGTTTGTGTACGGATCCGGTGCAAACATGTCATGAGTCGAGCCCTTGGGATGATCGGACTGGTCGGCGAAAGAGTCGAATTGCTGAGAAGGGTCGTACCCATCGTAGCCGTTGGTGTCTTCTTCTTGATGTGGGACTGAGTCGAAAGAGTCCATGGAGTCGTCGCCGAGTTGAGTGAAAGAGTCAGCGAACGTTGACATTTTTCTTCAAGGTCTAGTAGGGACAGGACAGGACAGGACAGGTTCGATGAAAAGAGTCTATGGGAAGAAAAAACTGAAACTGCGAAGTCACCGTCTCAAATGGAAGGCTAAAATGAAAAGATGACTCTTACGAATTAACTTTTGGGCCATTCTTTTTAGCAATTTGTTTAGGTTTTGATGGAGCTTATATATTTGGGCCATTATTTTGTTTTGATTGGACCGTTTAGAAATTCCTCCTATATATAAAAGAAAGTTCATTTTAAAAATATAAAGATTATTATCTCATTATTGACGAGAAAAATAATGACGTCAAACATCAAGCAAATGTTTGTGTTTGAATTAGAGATTTAAGGATTAAGGTTAGGATTTCAGTTTTGAGAATTTAAAGATTTAGGGATTTGAGATTATGATAATGGTGGTTTCCGATCATTTGTTGGTTCAAGACAAGTAAGTGATAGCTCGACGAAGATGACGATGATAGGACATACTCGACGACGATAATGGAGGTTTGAAATTAGAAATTCTAGGGCTTTGCGTTTTTTTTATGAATTTTAGAAAACTTTAGATTTTTTTTCAAATAATAATTTTAATTTTTTATTTAAATAAAATTTTTAAAAAATTATAAACGTGACACATATCATATATTTTAGTGGTTGATAAATTTTTTTAATGATCCCGAATGATGAGATACACTTAAAATAATAACTTTAAAAAGATTAGACATTTAATTTTAAAAATATATATGTATATATATATACACCTAAAATGAAAAATAGACCTAATTTGAGTTTTTTTTTTTTTGGAATTAAGTCTGCATTTTAAAATACACTTAACAACCCCTCACGACTTTCAATGACTCTTATTTAACTGATTTCGATCATTCATATAGCAGTTTAATTTGGATAAAGGCCGCATGATTTAGCTTAGACTCAATTGAAAAGGCCGCATGATTTAGCTTAAACTCAATTGAAATAAAAATACAAATTTAATTATTCATATATTGGATTTGAATTAATTTTAAATATTTTACTTCTCAAAACAAAGAATTTCAAAGCAATAAATTTAGAGATCAATTTTTTGATGATTCGGGAGGATGAATAGGTAAATGAAGGTGTGTCGTAATCGTTCTTTGGGTGGGTCCGGAATTAGATTTCGACTTAAATAAATGTGCTAGAGTCGCTACCGATCATTTTTTTTTTGAAATAAAAAATTAGGTTGATCGGACGCCTCGATTTATCCTCTTATCTGATCTGCGTTTTACCAGAAATATGTTGGGTTTGGGAGTCGGTTACAGTCAAAGAAGGATTAACACCATTGTACTGCCATTTCGGTACCAATTTAATTTTTCGGTTGTCTTAATTGTGAAAATTAAAAGTTCAATTGAAATTTAAAGATTTGATTCGAATCACTTGCCTCTGATAGATGCAAATTGCCTCTTTTAATAAAAGGTGTCAAAAATAAAGTTAACTAAAAAAAGGTAACATTAGGATTAGAATAAAACAAATATAAATTAAATTAAATTGAATAAAAATTAAATAAAAAAGAAAATTTAAATTAAAAGGGTTGAACTGCAAAGAATTTAAAATTAAGGATAAAATTGATATTATTTGAAAGATGCAAGAAATAATATAAAGTTAGGAGGGGCTAATTTGTAAAGTATAAGAATATATAACATGGATTAAATTGAAACAATTTGAAATTCAAGGGCAAAGTTACAACATGTGACCAAAATGTACACTTCAAACTTACAGGGAATGTGGAAATAATTTAAAAACTGCTATTTGAACTTTAGTCCTCCGTATATATAACCCCTAAAACCCAAGAATTCCACACATTTTCACCCACTCCCTATGACTCTCTCTCGACTTCCTATGAAATTCTCTCGACTTCCCCTTGATCGGTCGAAAACCGGCCACCTCCCGATAAAACATCGACGCCTAGACCACCTCTCCGGCCACTGCCCCCCATGGCCAAAAAACTCAAACTTAACCAAAATGTTCATCTCCACCCCCGTGAGTATGAAACCGAAGCCCGATTACCCCAAAAAGGTCCCAACCGACTTAGATATAGATTTAAAGTTTCATTTTTACCTATTTCCGATGAAAAGCTTTTGTTTCCGGCGTCGCTCTTTTCCCGAACCATGATCGACGCTGTGTTGTATTTAGAGCTTGTAAATAACACCTTATTTGGTGTTGTTTTTGTTTTTTTGGCTTGGTGACTTTCGGTTTTAACCGAAATGGCTTATGTTGGTTTTGGTTTTTTGATTTAGTTGTGTATCACTATTTTTTGTTATTCTTTTGTGTGGTTGTTACTTGTATTACTGGGTTTTTTCTCGATCTTGGTTCCTATTTCTCTCGGCGTTCATCGGGGTATTTATAACCCCCTCGTTGAGGTTTATTTTCGGTAGCTTCATGGTTGTTTACCCTCATTTCCTGATTTACTCAAGGTTGAGGGTTGTTTCTTGACCGACTAAACGGGATTGGTCAATCCCGATTTAGCTGGGATTCTTCGGCCTTGGTTGCTTTGTGGTCGAAAATTTCGGTCGTAAATTTAGCCTGGTGCGTGACCCTTGCTGTCACCGGTCGCCTGGTATTCATTTGATCTTTTGTGACCATTAGATCAAGTGGACAGATCCAACGCCTCACGTGTTTCAGCACATTTGCTAAGTTTGCAATGCTAATGTGTTTCGGGTCTCTTTTTGGGCCTGGTTTAGCGGCTTGCTGGGTCAGACGGATATGCTATTTGGATCTTGACCTTAATTTTGTTGGACACTGAACCTAATTAGACTGAAGAATAAAAAAAATAAAAAATAAGTAAAAAAAAAATAAATACCGATAATATGAATATATTTAAAAAAATATGTTTTCAAAAAAACTATATGTTTTTTCAGAAACAATTTTTTTAAAATCTCTATATTATTTATTTTCAAAAACCATTTTATAAACTATATAATATATGCTTTCAAAGATATTTATTTTAGAAAACTATATATATTATATGTTTAAAAAATATATATTTTCAAAAACTATATATATTATATGTTTTGAAAAATATATTTTCAAAAACTATATTATATATGTGTTTTCTAAAATATTTTAAAAAATATTTTATATGTTTTCAACAATGTTTTCAAAACTATATATTATACATGTTTTCAAAACTATATATTATATACATTTTCAAAAAAATGTTTTCAAAACTATATATTATATATATTTTCAAAAAATATTTTCAAAACTATATTATATTATCATTATATATATACTAAACAAAACCCCGAATGAAAATGAGTGACAACAACTGCCCTTCTTTGTCCATTATCGTGCAACGAAAATAGGGCAAAAATAAAAAAATACAAATTTTCGTTTGGTGCATATGGACTTGGAAACAAGGATGTTCCTGTGAGGGTTGTCGACTTCTGAGTTTGAAATCCAACTTAATGTTACTGTCAAATCTTTTATCAACTACCCTCTGTTGTGGAGTTGAGATTTGAAAAATAGAGAACGACCCCTGTTGTTGAGCCATACTGCTGGTGACTCCTTCGTCGTGAAGTTGAATCGATCTTGAGATGTCTTTGAACATGATATCCTTCGTTTTGGAGTTGAAATCGTGGCTCAAAACTTAAAATGAAAAGTGGATTCTTATTTTCGAATCGTAGTCAACATTGGTCTTCTTCTTGGTTTAAATACCTCGGTGTGAAAACTCGACTAAAAAGTAGTTCCTTGCTGCTACCATGCGGTTGATATGCCCTTGAGCTGAATGGAATTGAACTCGAAAGTTTTCGTTGATAGATAACCCTTCTTGCCTTGAGCTATGTTGTAAATTAGGTTGGGAGGTAGTTCCTTGTTATTGCAGATGACTCATTTGTTGTGAATTTAAGTCGATCTATTGAGCACAATATCCTTCGTCGTGAAGTTGAAATCGTGGGTAACTTCTTCATCTAAAGTTGTGTCGATCTCTTGGGCGTGATATCCTTCGTCATGAAATTGAAATCGTGGGTGGCCCCTTCGTCATGAAGTTAAGTTGATATCTCGGGCGGGATATCCTTCGTCATGAAGTTGAAATCGTGGGTGACTTCTTCGTCATGAAGTTGAGTTCAAATTTGTTTTGAGTCAGATATCCTTCGTTGTGAAGTTGAAATCCAACTTGTGTAAGTTGTATGAGTTCAATATCTTTCGCTGTGAAGTTTAAATTGACTCAAACAACAATCTGCAAAATTATGCATGTATGCGATGCTATGGATGTAATGCTCTTATGTATGCCTAAAATGCATATGTGAAATATGTTATTTTAGGATTTATAGAGAAATCTCAATCTCTTGCTATCAGTCTTGGTGACTCTTGATTTTAACCAATCTTGAATGTCTGATTCTTGATTTTGGATCCTCCGATCTTCAATGGGTTTTGATCTGACACACTCTTTGGGAGTTTTAAAAAAAAACTTTACTTCTAGTCTCGATTTAATCAATGTTGTCTCTAGAATCTATTATCTCGAGTATGGTGCAAGAACCTTTGTCAGTTTCCAAACACCTGTGTGTCTCAAGAAATCTTTGTGCAGTATACACACTGATATTTTCCAAAAGTGAATAAAATATTCTTATTTAAATTCAATCTAAAATGCTTGAAGGAAATCAATTTTTCAGAGAAATGACTATATTTTAAAAAAGAACAAAGAATAATTGAAAAACATTCTAGACAGTCAAGACCTAAAAGAAATACAAGTACATTCCCTAGATCACGACAACACATACACCTTTGAACTGATACACCGTTAGATAACTTTTGAGTACAACTTTTGTCAAGGGGACTTCGAAACCGTGATAACATTTAGGAGAGTGCAAAGTTCCTTCGAATTGTTAAGTATACAAAAGACTCGGATGCCGTGCGACTTTACTACTTTGATCCGGGACCTTTCCCTTGCGCGAATCTTAGATCATTATCCAAACCGTCCTTTCAGGTTTTCAACTTGGATACATCCTCGGTTTCAAGACTCCCTTTGCAGGTTTCATCTTGGACCCACCTTATTTTTTGTTTTTTATTTTTCCATTTA